GGCTCAAATCCAATTCTTCATTTTATACTTGAAAGTGGAAAAATAATTGAGCTCACGCCTGTAATCCCAGCACTTTGGAAGTCTGAGGTGGGAGGACTGCTTGAGCTCAGGAGTTCAAGACTAGCCTGGACAACATAGCAGGACCTCGTCTCTACTAAACTTAAAAAAAAATTAGCCAGGTGTGGTGGTGTGTGCCTGTAGTCTCAGCTACTCAGGAGGCTGAGGCAGGAAGACTACTTCAGCCCAGGAGTTTGAGGCTGCAGTGAACGATGGTAGCGCCACTGCACTCCAGCCTGGGTGACAGAGCAAGACCCTGTGTTCAGAAAGGAAAAAAAAAAAAAAAAAAAGTGGAAATGCAAGACATGGGACTGACTGGAAAGGTTTTTTGTTTCTTTTAAAGACAATATAATAAAAATTAACCACATTTCAAAGAACTCTACAGAGAACCAGGAAGTCACAACATATTTTGGTCCTTTTTTGGTTTAATCTCAAGTCATTCCTCTGTGCAATCATTTCCTCCCCCCCTTTATTTTCCCCAAGACAGAGTCTCACTCTTGTTGCCCAGGGTGGAGTGCAGTGGCGCCATCTCGGCTCACTGCGACCTCTGCCTCCTGGGTTCAAGTGATTCTCCTGCCTCAGCCTTCCAAGTAGCTGGAATAACAGGCGTATGCCACCACACCTGGCTAAAATTTGTATTTTTAGGATATATGGTTTAACCATGTTGGCAAGGCTGGTCTCAGACTCCTGACCTTGTGATCCACCTGCCTCGGCCCCCAAAGTTCTGGGATTACAGGCATTAAGCCATGAGGCTGGCCCCATTTTCCCTTTTATAAGGTACCACCACTGACCTTACTGCTCACATTGCAGATATCTTCAAAGCAATAAAAACAAAGGCCTGTTCAATCACAGACCAATCCTTGACGCCTGGATTGATACAGGGCTCCCTTATTCTAATTCCCATAGGCGATTCAGTAGGATAGGCTGACGGTCAATCATCTGTACTAACACAAGTTATTGATAATATACGTATTTGCCCTCATTTACTCTTTTTTTTTTTTTGAGATGGAGTCCCACTCTGATGCTCAGGCTGGAGTGCAGTGGTGCAATCTTGGCTCACTGCAACATCCACCTCCTGGGTTTGAGCGACTATCCTGCCTCAGCCTCCCAAGTAGCTATGACTATAGGTGAACACCACCACACCCAGCCAATTTTTAAAATATCTTTTAGTAGAGATGGGGTTTCACCACATTGGCTAGGTTGGCCTTGAACTCCTGACCTCAGATCCATATGCCTCAGCCTCCCAGAGTGCTGAGATTACATGTGTGAGCCACCGTGCCGGGCCTCATGTACTCTTTAGAGCCAAACACAGTGATGATAAGAATTCCCTCCACATGCTACCTGTCAGACTTCCAGTTTGGAGGCTAAGTTACCACCTAAAAAAGCCTCTTTTAACAGTCTAACCAAAAAAAAAAAAAAAAAAAAAAAGACTAAAGTAAATTTTAGAGTTTCATCAGCAGAGCCTTAGTGTTTAAACAGTCAAACAACATCATTAGGCACAACTTTTTTTTTTCTTTTTGAGATAGGGTCTCACTCTGCCCCCCCAGGCTGGAGTGCACTGGGGCAATCATGGCTCACTGTGGCCTTGACTTCCCCAGGCTCAGGTGATCCTCCCACTTCCGCCTCCCCAGTAGCTGGGACTATAGTAATATGCCACCACACTCGGATAATTTTTCGTAGAGAAAGGGTGTTTCAACATGTTCCCCAGGCTGGCCTTGAACTCCCGGGCTCAAGCGATCTGCCCGCCTCAGCCTCTCAAAGTGTTGGGATTAAAGGCGTGAGCCTCCGTACCCAGCCTAGAACAACTTTTGCAATGTATTATGATTCAGTTTTAAACACCTGAGTTGCATTTAACAAGTGACCAAATGATTAGCCAGATAGCCAAAATTCATGGAAGTAACTCTGGCAAAGATGGATTTTGGCTCCTCTCCATAAACTTCTTGGAAAAACCTTAGTGCAGAAGCCACTAGTGAACATTCACAGATTCAGAGTCAAAAAGAAAATTCATGGTCTTTCGAGGCCCTCCCCATGGAGGCATAGTGCAGAAACCATGATTTGGAGTGGGAAGGGAGCTTGCTCCATGGCAGGGAATCTTCATGATCTTCATGCAGCCATATAAACCCTAGTTCCTACAGAACAATGATTTCTTTAACCAGCCTTTAGTATCTTGCAGTATGACACCAATCTGTTATAAACTGCTCAAGTTTGTGTAATTTTGTGTGTGTGTTCCCTCTCCCTCTTCCCTTTCCTGACCTTTAGTCTTTCACTACCAATTTTGTGGCTATTTTAGGAGTAACAGATTTTTAAAGAAGAAAAAAAAAGGACTGAATTTCTTGCTTACTCTGCATATACAGAATGGATATTTTTTTTAACAGTCATTTCCCCAAAGGAATGTGTCTTGCGTATTACTGACATTTGGTATGTTTCATTCATTGGAATATTTCTTATTTTCTTTGTGTTTCAAAAGCCTGTGAGAAATACAGGATTTGATAACATTTTGAAGGTAGAAAAAACCCAAATTGTTTCTTCTTTGTGAGTCATGACTACCTTCTAGTGTGGAGAAATTGCCACCAAAAAATTTGACAAGTTTGGTTTTCACTGGTATGTTTACAAACTGAAAAAAAGGAACAGAATTTTTCTTTTGATATAAGATCACAAAACAATTGTAAAACCTACTGTTTTTACCATTGAAATTTAAATTGTGATATAGATTTTAAATGTCTAGAATGCAACTGATAGGCTTTTCTTGAACTGTTAGTTTTTTTGAAGTAGAGTTCTTTCATGTTTAATTTGTACTTGTTAAAAAAAAAAAAAACAAAAAACAAAAAAATTCCCAAAACCCAGATAACGACTAGAGCAAAACTGTTGTGCCTTCTATTTATCTTTGATTTCAGTCTTGGCAATTGTTTAAAGAAAAATCTAGATTTGTTTTATTAAGTTCAGAGTATGTGGGGAATTGTAGAATTCATCTTTCATCACCTTGTATGCCTTCTGTTAACATATTTGTTATGCCTTATTCTAAAACTGAGTCTCAAACTAGAGTGCCTTTGAAGGCAGATGCTTCTATAGAGGTTCTTTGACCTAAATAGTTCAGCATTTGTTTTAAGTTTTATTCTGGTATGTAATCAGATTCTTAATCATAGCTCATAAGAAGGAATATGACTTTAATATTGGACTTTGCTGATGTGCTCGTGTCTGCATTTTTTTTCTCTTTAAATCATAGCCATATGATTTTGTTTTCTATTTTGTTATGGTTCTCTTTTATTGATGGGCATGCAGTGGGTATTTCTTGGAAATGGTCACTTTTTATTAAAAACACTTCTGGAAGAGAAAAGTATCATGGTCTTTCATCTATTGGATGGTTCTGAACTGTTGCTTCCTACCTCACGTGGGCACTAAACGACACTTCAGTGAACACCAACACTTTCCATGTCACTGAAATCTCAGGAAGCTAGAAAGCTTTCTTCAAGAAAAGAGAATAACTGGTTCTAAACTCTAAAAAGAAATCCTGGCTGGGTGTAGTGACTTATGCCTGTAATCCCAGCATTCTGGGAGGCTAAGATGGAAGGATTGCTGAGACCAGGAGTTCAAGACCAGCGTGGGTAACACAGTAAGACTCCATCTCTACAAAAAATTAAAACATTGGCTGAGCATGATGACGCATGACTACAGTCCCAACTTCTTGGGAGGCTGAGGCAGGGGGACTCCTTGAGCCTGAGTTTGAGGCTGCTATGATTGAGCTATGATGGAGCCGCTCCAGCATGAGTGACAGAGCAAGACCCTGCCTCAAAAAAAATAAATTGAAAGAAATCCCTAGGATTTTTATGATATGTGATATGTATATTTTAATACAACTTACAATGAATTGTTAAAAAATTATCCTTAGTCTACTTGATTATAATTCTAGCTCAATTTCTGTCCATCAGTTAAACAAAAGTCACAATAAAGCATGGCTTTATTAGCTCCATTAGTGAGATATTTCAGTGAAATAAGTAGATTTAAATACTTCACAATAATACGCTGGGCACATTGGCTAATGCCTGTAATCACAGCACTTTGGGAGGCTAAGGCAGGAGGGTCACATGAGGTCAGGAGTTTCAGACTAGTCTGGCCAACATGGCAAAACCCCATCTCTACTAAAAATACAAAAATTAGCCAGGCATGGTGGTGTGTGCTGTAATTTCAGCTATTCAGGTAGCTGAGGCACGAGACTCACTTGAACCCAGGAGGCTGAGGTTGCAGTGATCATGCCACTGCACTCAAGCCTGGGTGACAAAGTGGGACCCTGACTCAAAAGATAGACAGGTAGATAAATACAGAAATACTTCACCATAGTAAATATAAAGTAGTACAATCATAATTTACAGCTAATCATAAGCTTTAAATTTGTGCCAATGAAACTGCACTTGTATTCCCAGAAGGATACAGCATCTGTACAACTCTATGTAAATATACTGAGCACATGGGAAGTGTGATGTTTTCAGTTTTAGGACACTATTTCTGGATATTACATGAGGGACGGGCTCCAATAAAACAAATGTGTAAACCACACACATTACAAATACCAAGAATAATTACTTATTATTTTAAGAAAAATCTACTTGGCGGAGCGCGGTGGCTCATGCCTGTAATCCCAGCACTTTGGGAGGCTGAGGTGGGTGGATCACCTGAGGTAAGGAGTTTGAGACCAGCCTGACCAACATGGTGAAACCCCATCTCTACCAAAAATACAAAATTAGCTGGGTGTGGTGGTACATGCCTGCAATCCCAGCTATTTGGGAGGCGGAGGCAGGAGAATCGCTTGAACCCAGGAGGCAGAGGTTGCAGTGAGCAGAGATTGCACCACTGCACTCCAGACTGGGCAACAAGAGTGAAACACTGTCTCAATAATAATAATAATAATAAAGAAAGAAAAAACTACTTACAAGAGACAATATACTTACAAGAGATAGCAGCAAACTGAACAGGTCACCAACATGGTAATGATAACTCTAAAAAAAGAAAAATAAAAATGTCATTAAATAACTAGCAAACTTCACAAACATCACAGAATGGTTTAAGTCCCCTTTCCAAATTATCAAACTGGCATGGATTATGCACCAAGAAAATGGATCTGCATCTGCTCAAATATCCAGCAGACTGCAGTGTGCCCAGGATGCGCCTGGGATAAGTTTATGTAATTAAACATTTGCATTTAAAGAGATAGTGTTGATGCCACAGTGCAGATGTCCAATCCAAATTTATCTGAAACTGAACAGGAAAGGCCACAGTGACAATTAGTTTTGACACCTAAGTAATTACCCTATTTGGTAGTCTTCTCTGTAATGAAGTAACACTGTACTTCTAAAAATAACTCTCTAGTGGCGAGCTCTTCCATCTCCATTCATGTCTGAAAGTTACACTTTGATCTCTCATCAGCAGAATTTCAACATTTCTAAACCTCAGTTCATACTATTCTCTTCCCATTTCTCTTTCTAAAAGCTCTCCTTCTAAATCTCCTACTCCTCAGAATAAGTTCTGCCATTTCCACCCATCCGACCCACCCTCAAATCCATCATCTTTTGCTCATGCCTCCTCTGCACCTCCAGTCACCAAATACTGTGAATTCATACTTCAAAGTATCTCTCCCCACGTGTATTTCCTTCTTCCCATTCCCATTGTCGGCAACAAAAGTCACCTGGTTCCCCTGGCTAAGTAACTGCTGGCAGAGTCAAACTTTCCTCCTTCTCCTTCATTCTATAAACAATCACCAGGATTCTCCACTTAAGACCTTTCAGGGCCAGGTGCGGTAGCTCAAGCCTGTAATCCCAGCACTTTGGGAGGCCAAGACAGGCAGATCACCTGAGGTCAAGAGTTCAAGAACAGCCTCGCCAACATGGTGCAGCCACATCTCTACTAAAAGTACAAAAATTAGCCAGGCATGGTGGCAGGTGCCTGTAATACCAGCTACTTGGGAGGCTGATGCAGGAGAATCACTTAAACTTGGGAGACGGAGGTTGCAGTGAGCCAAGATCATGCCATTGTGCTCCAGCCTGGGTGACAGAGTAAGACCCTGTCTCAAGAAAAACAAAAAAAAACTTTCTATGCCCCCCCCATCATCCATCATTTGGTTTCCAAGAGGCGTGTCCACACCCTAAGAAGAACAAGACCATTTCCTAGAACTTGGGAACCAAATATTGTAACTCCTATTTTTTTAGAGACAGGATCTCTGTCGCCAGGCTGGAGTGCAGTGGCGTGATCATAGCTCCCTGTGATGGGAGCTCAAGTGATCCTCCCGCCTCAGCTTCCCAAGTAGCTAGGACTACTAGTGTGTACAACCAGGCCTGGCTAGTATCTATAATAGAGATGGGCGGGAGAGGTCTTGATATATTGACCAGGTTGTATTTGAACTCCTGGCCTCAAGTGATCCTCCTGCCTCAGCCTCCCAAAGTGCTAAGATTACTCGTGTGAGCCACCATGCCTGGCCCAGAACTCCTATTTTTATTTAACTCATCCCTTAGAAGTTGTGTGTGTGTGTGTGCGTGTGTGTGTGTGTGCGTGTGTGTGTGTGCGCGCGTGTGTGTGTGCGCGCGCGCACGTTTTGAGACATTTTCACTGTGTCACCCAGGCTGGAGGGCAGTGGCACAATCTCGGCTCACTGCAAACTCCACCTCCCAGGTTCAAGCGATTCTCGTGCCTCAGCCAAAGTAGCTGGGATTAGGATTATGGGCATGCACCACCACACCCGGATGATTTTTGTATTTTTAGTAGAGATGGGGTTTGCCATGTTGCCCAGGCTGGTCTTGAACTCCTGGCCCCAAGCGATCCAGCCACCTATGACCCCCAAAGTGCTGGGATTACAGGCATGAGTCACTTCGTGTGTATTTTCTTTGATTAATATATTGGCACATTCATTTACTCATTCAATAGATTTTCACTCACTGAGTGTCCAGTATGTATTAGGCTCTGGGGAGACAACAGTAAACAAAATAGATAAAACCCCCTGCCTCAGGAAAAAAACAAAAAAGAAAGAAAAAAAAAAACCCTGCCTCATGAAGCTTATGTGCCACTGGCAGAGACAGACAACAAACAGGGTGAATACACAACAAACACCAATTATCCACCTATATATGCCAGATGGTCAGTAAGTGCTGATGGAGGAAAATAAGGCAGGAAAAAAGAGACAGAGTCTATCAGGGCTTGGAGATTCTGGTTGAAATTTTAGAAGATGGTCAGGAAAAGTCTTGCTGAGGAGGTGGTGTCTCAGTGCAGACCTGAATAAGCTGACAGAGCATTCCAGGCAGAATTAATCTTAAAGGCAGGGGGTGAGAAAGTACCTGGTGTTCAAAGAGGAGGGATCCTGGGGAAAGGTGAGGTCACAAAGAGGTGCACTGCGGCCTCTGAAAGGACTTCCACTCTTAAAAGGCTTTGACTCTGAGTGAAAAGAGAAATTATTTGGAGGGTTTTAAGGAGAGGACTGATAAAATCTGATTCGAATTCTAATGGGATTTTTCTGCTGGGACGAAAGAGACTGGGGAAAGAGGGGCAAAAAGAAAGGAGAGAAACCAGTTGAGAGGAATTATAATAATCCAGGTAGATCAGGCTGGCAGCACTGATCAGTAAGAGTTGGTCAGATTGTCTGAAATACATAATTTATACATCACACTTATAAAATATAAATAAATATGTATGGGGGATTGTGCTAAATAAATGTTGACAGTTGCACAATAAAAACATTTGAAGACCTACAGAATCAAGTCCACCTCCTCACTTGTAACTCCCTCCAACCCATCCTTCTCACCTCTCCCTAAGTTCAAATATCAGTCCTTCATTTCTGAAGGTGCAGGTGCCTTCAATGTCCCCTAAAACCCATTATGTCTAGGATTCCCAATTCCAAGCTTTTTTTTTTTTTTTTTTTTTTTTTTGAGACAGAGTTTCACTCTTGTTACCCAGGCTGGAGTGCAATGGCGCGATCTCGGCTCACCGCAACCTCCGCCTCCTGGGTTCAGGCAATTCTCCTGCCTCAGCCTCCTGAGTAGCTGGGATTACAGGCACGCGCCACCATGCCCAGCTAATTTTTTGTATTTTTAGTAGAGACAGGGTTTCACCATGTTGACCAGGATGGTCTCGATCTCTTGACCTCGTGATCCACCCGCCTCGGCCTCCCAAAGTGCTGGGATTACAGGCTTGAGCCACCGCGCCCGGCCCAATTCCAAGCTTTTATTCATCTTCCCCCATTCTGTGCCCCACTGTGGAATCTCTTCCCTGTCTTCTCTCTTCTCCAAAAGATCATCTCAGAGAACTGAAAGAGTTGAGGCTCCTTTGTATCACCTGTTTAATATTAATAGCTACATATAAAAGCTCCCTCATTGACGTGTCAGCTCCTAATGTGCTTGGGCTTAGGAGCTGCATGCTGAGTGGTGAAATGCCACAATAACTGCAATTTACTTTCAAATGGTTCAGCAAAATTATATACACACACACTCATGGATGAAGCAAATATGAATACGTTAAACAATAACTGAATCTAGGTGGTAATATATGGCACTTACTGTACTACTCCTCCTACTTTTCTATATGTTTGAAAATATTCATGAAAAAAGGGGAGTTAGCTGGGCACAGTGGCATGCCTGTAGTCTCAGCCACCTGGGAGGCTGAGGGGGGAGGATCACTTGAGCCCAGGATATCAAGGGTGCAGTGAGATATGATCACGCTACTGCACTCCAGGCCTGGACAACACAGGGAGACCCTTTAAAAAAAAAAACAAAAAAAACAGGCATGGTGGCTCAAGCCTATAATCCTAGCACTTTGGGAGGCTGAGACCAGGTGTTAAGACCAACCTGGCCAACACAGTGAGACCCCATCTCTATTATTACTATTATTTTACTATTTTTTTAAATTTTTGAGACGGAGTCTTGATCTATAGCCCAGGTTGGAGTGCAGTGGCACAATCTCAGCTCACTGTAACCTCCACCTCCCGGATTTAAGCAATTCTGCCTCAGCCTCCCAAGTAGCTGGCATTACTGGCACGCATTACCACACCCAGCTAATTTTTGTATTTTTAGTAGAGACAGGGTTTCACCATGTTGGCCAGGATGGTCTCCATCTCCTGACCTTGTGATCTGCCTGCCTCAGACTCCCAAAGTGCTGGGATTACAGGTGTGAGCCACCATGCCTGGCCAAGACCCTGTTTTAAAAAATAAATTTAAAAAAACTTCAGCCAGGCATGGTGGCTCACACCTGTAATCCCAGTACTTTGGGAGGCTGAGGAGGGTAGATCACCTGAGGTCAGAAGTTCGAGACCAGCCTTGCCAATATGGTGAAACCCTGTCTCTACTAAAAAATACAAAATCAGCCGGCCATGGTAGCACATGTCTGTAATCCCAGCTACTTAGGAGGCTGAGGCAGGAGAACTGCTTGAGCCCAGGGGGCGGAGGTTGTAGTAAGCCAAGATGGTGCCATTGTACTTCAGCCTGGACAACAGAGTGAGACTCTGTTTAAAAAAAACAAATTCATTAAGGAGATAAATAAAGGAACCCTTTGAGGAGGAAGGCAGGGAGAAAAGCAGACATATTTGATGTTAAATTCTCTTCCCCAAGAGACCCCTGCACACCAGAATGCTGTAAGTTGGGTGATTAGGAGGTTATAGGACCTGATGAGGCAGTGAAAAGAAAGGGCAGAAGGGAATTTTTTTTAAGAGACAGGGGTCTCACTCTGTTGCCTAGGCTAGATAGCTCACTGCAGCCTTGGTGGAGGCTCAAACAATCCTGAGCTCAATTCTGAGCTCAAACAATCCACCTGCCCAGCCTCTTGAGTAGCTGGGACCAGAGGTGTATACCACCATGCCTAGATAATTTTTGAAAGATTGTTTTTGTAGAGACCAGGTCTCACTTTATTGCCCAGGCTGGTCTCGATTTCCCGGCTTCAAGTGATCCTCCCACTTCGGCCTCCCAAAGTGCTGGTGTGAGCCACCATGTCGGGCCCATTTTTATTTTTTGAAGATATTTTCGAT